AACGTGCTTCTTACCAAAAAAGCCTGGCAACTTGAACTAAGCTTGTAATTCTTGAGGACAGGGAAGTTTTGCAATAAAAGCAGCTAGAAGGGAGGAAATGGACACGTGGGTATTGGCTTACACCAAAGAAAATGAAGCCATAGCTAAGGCTAAATCCAACTAGCAGTTACTTGCTTGTATTTTTCAGGGTAAAATAAGTAAACGATCCTTTACTCCCAGAGGTGATATCAGCCATTAAAGTCACTTTTGTAGTACAAACAAGTCTTGTGTACGTGAAAGCTGATCAAAGTAATACCATGCTGCATTGTGGGGGCCAAGGGGTGGCCAGGGGGATGCTGGCAGTGGCAGAGGGAGGTCGCCTTCGCCTTCGCCTGGCAGCCGAAGGGCAGAGCCCGAGGCAGGAGCTCCCTCCCACCTGTTTTCCCTCAAGAGCAGACCAGGCTGAGCAAGGTCGGGCTGCACAGTGCGATGCCCGGGGGAGCAGTGCTCCGGGGTGCTGCCTGAGCAGCTCGGTCAGAGCTGGTTTAGCTACGTCTCCTTACCTAGGCTGGGCTGCAGGCCCACAAGGGATTAACAGAATTAGAAAACATTTAGAAAGCTTTGTTTTGCTGAGGAACAGACTGCTAAGAGATGTTCATGAAAGGGGAGGAATAACAGCTACTTGTAAGCACGCTTTCTTAAAGAGGGGCTAACTTGTATTTTTATCCGCTTTAAAAGTTATGCACTAAGTTTAAAGATAGCTATACAACTTTGTTTTTTCACTAAAAGATTTCAACTTCATCCTTTTTGATTACTTCTTATGAGTAATGTTTCTAATTGATTCTTCCACCTTAAAGAGAAGGGTATGGGATATAGTGTCTGCTACTAGCAGAAGACTCAGTTACAGTCACCAAAGCTGTAAACTCTGTTGTATATTAAAAGTAGCACCTACATTCCAAGTGGAGCTTATACCCTGGTAGGCACCTAAGCATCACATGGCCGCTCACTCACTGCCCAGCAGTGGGATGGGGGCGAGAATCAGAAGGGTAGAAGTGAGAAAATTCATGGGTTGAGATAAAGGCAGTTTAATAAGGTTAAAAAACAAACCACAGAAACCCCAAGTGAAAAAAATCCACTTGTTTTCCACGAGCCAACTGGTACCCAGTCAGACCCCGAGCAATAGCAGCCCTGGCACATTTCTCCCTATTTTATTACTGAGCATGACATCACATGGTGTGGAACGTCCCTTTGGGCAGTTGGGGTCAGCTGTCCCAGCTGTGCCCCCCCCAACTCCTTGTGCACCCCCGGCCTGCTCGCTGGTGGGGTGGGGTGAGAGGCAGAAAAGGCCTTGGCACTGTGTAAGTGCTGCTTGGCAGTAATGAAAACATCCCTGTGTTATCAACACTGTTTTCAGCAGAAATCCAAAACGCAGCCCCATGCTAGCTACTCTGAAGAAAATTATACCAGCCAAACCCTGTACAACATTCACAAGAGTGAGAAATACTGGGGCAATACATTATCCTCATCCTCATCAAAAGAAGAAACCTTGCACATACAGCATGCTTGCAAGGAACCCGTCCTTCCCTAATACGTGGCATCATTAGCTCCTTTCATACCCATAGTGGTTTTATTGCGGACTTTCACGCTAACTGCTTACGTTGTCACCCCAAGCTGCCAACTCACCCAGTGAGGTTACAGATCGGTTCAGAACTGCTCCAGCCTTGGCAGGTAGCACTGAATTTCCATGCTCACTTCCTTCCTTTTCCTCTTTCCTTTTTATTCTTTTAGGGGATCTGCACAGTAATGAGTGCTAGGACTAAGTTTTGTTTTCAGGAGCTCTTACGGTGACAAAGAAAATAAATTCTTCCAGCACAGCGTCTGGTTCCTTCCACCAATGCTCTTCCTACCCCTTTCCAAGAGCCCCACGGGGCCTGGCCATGAGACCAAGGACAACTTTTTACATTGATATGAAATAAATACAAAGTATATGTTTGTTACTACAGGAAGCAAGACTAAAAGCCAAGTTTCTTGCTTAAGTGACTGGCATATTTTACTTTTACATCAACGGAAAGCATACATCACAAAAAGGTTAAATGTGAACATTCAACATAATGACAAGTATTAAACAGAAAGCCAATTACCTATCACTCATAAAGGTGAATGAAACCTTTCACAGAAATAACACTTACGAAAAAATTCAAAAGGCTCCTTAGTTCATGAGTAAAAACCATTTAAAAAGAATAGTCAGATTAAGCAAAGGACAACCTAACAAACTTTTGAAAGCTCTTCCTGACCTACTAGCTAATTGGCTGACGGGACAGGCTCAAAGTTACAGTAAATGGGGTTACATCAGGCTGGCGGCCAGTCACCAGTCACCTGGGGTTCCCCAGGGCTCAATTTTAGGGCCACTGCTCCTTCAGGTTTTTATAAATGATACAGACATAGGAGTCAAACGTACATTAACTAAGATTGCCAACGACACTAAACTAAGAGGAGCTGTGGACTCCCTCAAGGGTAGAGCGGCCTGGCAGAGAGATCTGGATAGACTGGAGAGCTGGACAATCACCAGTTGTAGGAAATTTAACAAGAGCAAGTGCCAGATTCTCCACCTGGCGTGGGGTAGTCCTGGTTATACGTGAGAACTGGGGGACGAGGGGCTGGAGCGCAGCCCTGGGGAAAGAGATCTGGGGGTCTGGGTTGACGGCAAGTCAAACATGAGTCAACAGGGCTCCCTGGCAGCCAAAAGGGCCCACCGTGTCCTGGGGTGCATCCAGCACAGCACAGCTGGCCGACTGAGGGAGGTGGCTGTCCCCTCTACACTGCACTGATGCGGCCCCACCTCGAGTACCATGTGCGGTTTGGGGTGCCTCCATGTAAGAAGGACATCAGACTATTAGGGTGTGCCCAGAGGTGGGCGACCAAGATGGTGAAAGGTCTCGAGGGCAAGACTTACAAGGAGCGGCTGAGGTCGCTTGGATTGTTCCACCTGGAGAAGAGAAAGCGCTGAGGGGAGCCCTCATCGCGGTCTACAGCTTCATCGAAGGAGGCAGCGGACGGGGAGGTGCTGATCTCCTCTCTCTGATGACCAGCAACGGGACATGAGGACACGGAATGCAGCCGCGTCAGGGGAAGTTCACCTTGGACATTAGGAAAAGGTTCTTCACGGCGAGGATGGTCGGTCACCAGAACAGGCTCCCCAGGGAAGCGGTCACGGCACCAACCCTGTCAGAGTTCAAGGAGCATCTGGATGCCACCCCTAGCAATATGGTTTAGTTTTAGGTAGGTCTGCAAAGAGCAGGGAGTTAGACTCGATTACCCTTATGGGCCCCTTTCAACTTGAGATATTCTTTGATTCTGTGGTTGTAAGCTTTGGCTTTACCTTACAGAAAAACGCTTGAAAAATCAGATACTTTTATCATAGTAAATTTAATCAGGCTTCTAGCAAAGGAGACTCCTAACAAACTGTACAGTAAGAATGGACCTTTTTAATCAAAAATATATTAAACATTATTTCAGTATTTTTTCATTAACATTTCTAACCCAAAGCAGAAACTCTGATGAATCACCCTGAAGGCTCCCAGTCCTGTAGATAAGTAGTGAGGTGCTGTAGTTACACTTCTGCCCCAGAGAAGACTTTGCCTGTGGTTTCATGACTGATCTCAGTAAACCAGGTTGCTGCCAGAAGGGGCGGGTCAGGTCTAGCTACTGTGCCACATCAGGTTGCCTCTCTTCCCCTCTCTCCCTCCCCAAATTAGCATCCTGTAGGATCCATGAGCTTATTCCCGCTCACGATGCAGCCCACACAATCCCAGGTGCCAACAAGGTAAACTGCAGGTCATCTCCTTTGAGCAATGCAAACTCTTAGAAACCAACAAAAGCCAACTGCAAAACCACACCCTACTGACATTAAAACTAATCAGGCACCTCAGGAATCTGATGTAATACATATTTAATATACTGTATCACGATTTGCATGTGCAAGATACTGTGATACGTACCTTGTAGATGCAAAATCATTGCTATTTCATTTATTTTTCTGCACACCATTCTGATGAAATCTGAGAAGCTATCTTGATAAAGGGGGTGAATTCAATGATTTTTTCATTTCAAAATACTGTGCACTTTGGAAACGGTGAGCTTTGGTCATTAGTCCTTTTACAGAGTTTCACATGTTTCTAAATACAAATGTATATAAAACAATCATGCTTATACTTACCTCTTTGTGATTATGACTCAAATGATCCCTTTCCCAAAGCGTTCATAGAAAACAATACCTTATATTAAAGGTAAAGCTGTACACAATCCAATGAGTCCTAAATATTTTTCATCTCTGAAAAGTAATCATGTAACAGTGGCAGCCTCTTGACTCTCCTCAGCCACAAAAATGGTGCCAGACATTACCCAGAATCACCAAGATTTGAAATGATGATGAATTTGAGGCCTTAGTGTTCAACTTCACGTTACACCTAATCCAAAATAATTTGGAGTTACTAAAGAGATGGTCCTGCTCGCTTTCCTTGCTCCACCTTGCCACCCCAAATTCCTGCTCCTTCTTGATGTTAGAAATAAAGATTACACGTAGCCTCCCCATTATTAAAACTGAGGGATGAAAAGTGATGAGAAAGCATAAGGGGGGAGGAGAGAGTAGGAGAAGGGACCTTTCCCTGCTCAGTGGCTGCCTGCAGTTACACTCTGTAAGGTATAGAGAGAAACATAACAAAGGAAACATTTAGTAGCAAATAGTAACAAAAAATGCAATTCATCCTATATAATACTGCTTACTAGTAATGACTCATGATACAGAAAACACCAACATTTAAAAGGCATTTGCAGAACCTGCAATTATAGGACTTCTTATATCAAGTAATTAAAGTTGCTCTGGCAGTCAGAAACTAGATAACCCCATGTGTAATTTTACAGAATTAATCTGAAGTTTAAAATTAGAATAAATAACTTAAATCATAGTTGTGAACAATTTTGCAAGTCTTCCCTTCCTATAGTATATATAAAAACAAGACATATTTCTGCACGTTGACGAATGAAGAGCTGCTTCTTGTTATTTTAATAAAAAATACAGTGTTTGAAGTTACACTTAGAAACATCAAAACGTACGTGCACATACATCAGACTGAACATTTTTTTCCTAGGTCACTGTGTAAAGGTTTCAAAAATAGTTTGTCACTTTACAGCATTGTTTAAAAGAACATCCTTTCAAAGGAATATATGTCAACAAATACAGGTAAGGAAGAATGCAATTGTGGAGACCACAATGAAAAAAATCTAGCCACCTGAGCTACTATGAAGGAGGGCAGGCCTTGGGTTCAAATCTCCAACAAGATCTCTTTCCCCACAAAAAGCAGATTTATGTATTATGGCATACACAACGCAGAGGAACTAAAAGCATATTTTTGTCCTTAGTATGAGCCCTCTTTGAAGGATTCTGATAGATCTTGATTGGCAGCATCGTACTGAGCAATGAAATGTTTGAGTTCTTCAATGCATCGCTCACCTATTTCATGCAAATTCTGCCTCAGGGCAAACTGAATTGACTTCTCTAATGACGGATCTTTATCAATTAGCATCTTCACTACCATGCCGAAGGTTTCACAGTCTTGTCTGTAGACCTAGAAACAACAAATTTTAGAAAACAATTAAATGCAAGACTCTTTACATTAGCACACCAACAGCCTTCATTGAGTGAGGTGCGATTGCAGATCCAAACCAAACAAAGAATATTGGACTTAACGTGAGTTTCAACTGTAAGATGCATTTGCCTTTTCTTCTCTTTTGATCTGCACTAATACAAATGTACCTAGTTCAGAACTATCTGGATACAAGAAATAACTCTTATTGTGAGAAATGCCTTAAAAAACCAAGATTAAGTTCCTCTTGCAGCAATATTTAATAAATAATGGCGGAACAAAAGGCAAATGCTAAACCAGAATTTTCATTGCAAATATATGTAAAATTAATTTAACTGTGGCATGTCTAACAATCTCAATTTTTATACAAAGCATCAATAACTTACTCTGTAATCCTTCCTAATACTTTAAATACAAGTTGCGTTTAAATAATGTCACCAAATTATGTTTGCTTGTTGGATATCTGTTTCTTGTAGAAGTCCTTGACAAATATGACTCTAATTAGTTTGACTGCATTGGTGATTCAACTGCTAAGGATAAGAGAAATCCTGGCAATGGTTTATGTGAACCCGTCTGATCCTCTACTGCAGGGAATGAAGAGTTTGCAAGTCAGTTATGTACCACAGTTGAGAAGTAACTTCTCATTATCACTGCAACTGTTTTTCAAACAAACACCTCACTATGCACTTAAGCAGTTTTCAAAACAAGTCGGTGGCCTTTCAAAACCTTTTTTTTTTTTTCAGATTCCAGCTAAGGTTATTAATTTAAACACCCACCAAAAAAGGAGCTTATCAAAGTCTTCGAACAGCCAGATGCAGTTCATTTTCACACCTCTTTGGCCAATTTCCATTTAGAAAATACACTGGCTTTTTGAATGAAGATAAGTAAGTTTTATATCTCTCTACATTTTTTAGGAGGAAAAAAAAAAGCTAAAATGCTGATATTCTTCAAAGTATGATTAACTTATAGTACTGTATGCTTGTGTTAGAAACTTGGTTTTTACAGAGATGTGTGACCCTTTCCTCCCACATTTATCTGTATTGTGGACACAAATGACACAACTATATATAAACAATTTCCCATTAGTAAAAATGAAAGAAAAACACAAACAAAAAAAACCCCACAACCAAACACCACCATACTGTTTTATTCATAAGGACCAATCCACAGGCAGCTCAAGCATGCTCACGTCAGAAGAGCAGAAAAAAAAAAGATACATTCTGGTCACAAATTGAACTATTCTCAGAAACACAATGATTTAACATGATACTTTTAATAAAGACAGTTCTTAAATGTTTGATTGTATATTTTATAAAAATAGTTTAAAACGAGACCTACTTCTCAAACACTGGTTGGCAAATAAAAGAAAACCTTTTGGAAGAAACTCATTTTCAATGGAGATGAAGTCAAAAAGAAGAGTGCAGCTCAAAAAAACTGGAGCAAAACATCGTAAGTGTGGAAACGGTGTGCACGTGGCATTTTTTCTGAGAGGGGATTTATTTCCTGCTTTGCATGTTTAGTTCTTTGGTAGTAAAATACCAGCACAAAACCCAGACTCCAGAGTTCATGTTCCACAGCAAGTAAAACACAGCACTTGCGAAGAGAACTTCAAAGAGAGTAAAATTGAGTTACTTTTTTTCTGACTCCAAGGAAAAAGCTCAGGAAGAATCGCTGTCTCTGATTAGCCATAAGACAGACAGATGGTATTTCACTTCGGATAACTCGTGCCTTTCAAGTACTTGCAGCATGCTTGCTAGCACCTTCACAGAATGATTTCTGAAAGGTTTTTTTCTCCCCAGAGCCTTTCTTCCCCCCCCATTAAATTGCAGGTCTATTTGTCCTATTTTATCGCCTTTGAAGCGGTCAGACAAAGGACGTGTGAGTGATCTTCCACAGGTAAACAAACCTGGTAACTGTCAGTCCTCAGAGGACGCTGTGCGACACCAGCACGAGTGAAACCCTGACCCTAATAGAGAACACGGGCACATCGCCCTGCCTTCTGCACAGGCAGGCACCCAAAGCTACAACTGAAGGAAAATTCTACCTTTAATTGGTCCTCAAACTAATGGCAAATAGTGCTATCTGATATTTCTCTCACACATCACGAACAACTAACCCAGATTAAATTTTCTGACTCTTAGCTCATAAATATTAGCTCAATCTAAGCATATTTTTCTTCAAAACTTTCACAAAAGAAGACTTGGAGGAGAATCAAGAGAGCCGCCGTCGTCACTGCGTCTGAAGTCACTTTGCTGTCACAACAATCTGGAAACTAAATACCTTCACACACGAGATGAATGTTTTCAATCCTTTGTGACAAAGGAGTTTAAAAAAAATAGAATTGACCTCAGATAGGGGAAGAGGGTGAAGGTGGAGCAGGAAGGCAGTTTTAACAACAGAAAACAAAGGAAACAGCTCAGCTCCTCTAACAATAATTGAGCAATTTTCCCTCAACAAGCTTTCTACTCCAGCTGCTAGTTCTGATCCTCCTGGTGCAATCTGCCTCCTTCTCAATTGTGCTGATAAACCTATTTGTATAGCTGCGACTTAAATTACATCACTGAGACAATCCCTTTTAAAATTACTTCCCCCCCAATTAATGTGATTCAGTGATTCAATTCTAAAACCAGATGCATCAGCACAACGGAAAGAGCTGTGAGCCACAGTTGTGAAGTGGAAATAACTTCATAAACCAGTTTATATCTGGAGCCAGGACATGACTACCAACCCTCCTCAGAGAGGAGCTATTATGTTTTGCAAAAGGGAGTAGAGATTATCAGTTAGAAGAGTATCAATTACAGAAAATATTAATTACAGTTTAATAGTTCAATCAAGTATTTGAAAAAATTGTGAAAGCACTCAAAGGCCTTGAAAAAGAGGATGGTGGCAAGGCATATTAAAATCTATCTTCTCCACAGAAGAGGAGGCGGCTGTTTCTGGAAAATAAGCCGAGATAGAAAGGTGATGCTTGAGGAACAGAGAGAACTGCAGAAAAGGCTCCTAACAAGCAGAAAAAGTTCTCTGTTGGAGAAAAATACTGGAAGAACTCGTGACCCACAAAGTTTCAAAATAACCCTTTCTTTAAAATTCCAGCTGATATTGATTTTGAGCTCAGACCACGGAAAGCTCATCAGTAAACATCTGGAACTAAAAACTGAAAATGATTCCATGTGTGGGGAAAGAAGAAATAACATTTTTATACTGAAAAACAAGAGAGGGAATGATACCAACGACATGAATATTCTGTCTGATATATACATCAGGTAACCCTGAAAACAGCTAAAGCCATAGGGTGATCATTTACCAAGGCCCTAGCATAATTTTATTCTCTGACCTATGCTACAGCACCAGCATAATGAAAAGAATGTGTAACACTTTAGTAAGCAGATGAAGGAGAAGCAGAAACAGCTGTTCTGTCCCCAAATATATAGATATATTTATTTTTATTGTATACACACACACACAAAATATATAGTAGTTTTGATTTTCCTATGAATGAGAAGTATATGAGCTGAATTCAAGTTCTCTTTGAAGAGTTTTCCAAAATCAGCGTATCTGGCATCTGTGAGGTCAGAGGGCATTTTAGCTCTTTTCAGTCTTACATGGCAATAGCCTAGAAGCTCTGGCTGAGATCAACCCTTCACTGTGCTAGTCTCTGTATAAGCACTTAAGCTTTGTCTAGATGCAAATCTAAAGGTGTGATGCACCTGCAACACATTAGTAGATAAAACTAAACCAAAATTTGCACTTCTAACTGTTAAAATATAGCTAAAAGACACTTACTTCCAGCCGCAGATAGAGCAATGGAGATGTTAGTCCCCCACGTTGGGGGTGATCAAGCCCTAGAACTAGAGACAGAATGAAACTTTTGAGAACTCCCTGATCTGCATCTATGCAAAGTTATCACAGTTAACCTCAAAGCGCCATCAGCAGTGACTTGCATTACGATGTATGACACTGACACGAAGGAGGTGAAGGATACCACCCACACATTCTCTTCCTCCAGCTCAGCTCAGCTCTGCGATGTTGACCTCTCATGGGGAAGAAAGAGGGGCAGAAGCAAGCGCATGCAGACTGCTCATCCCTCCTGCAATGATAATCTAAAAATGGCCTTGTCTTAAACCAAAGAAAACATTCTGAATGGCTCAGCTGATGAGTGGAAAACACCATCACCAAAACTCTGTTGTAAACCTCAGCTCTGGTTGTGGATTAAATTATACCTAGCTAGGGAATACCTTGACAGCATGTCTACTGCTCACTGATGAAGTCCATACCGTTTCCTTCCTCTGACCAGCACAACCCTATATTCTTCTCCAAAACTGTTCCAGAGCTGCCCATGTACCTTTTGTGCAACTGAGCTGTTGGACAACATAAATAGTAATGAGAACAAAAACTAGAACTTAAGATGTCCTCCCCTGCAAGTGACTACAGTCCACAGAAGACTTGGAAACTTTGTCATCTCGGTCTCAGTGTCTTGCACACCTGGCCAAAAAGCAGCTTCAGTCCAACAGCAAGAGTAGACCCAATATTGAAAGGGGATGAGGCCAGACAAAAAAAAAAAAAAAAAAAAAAAAAGAGAGAGAGAGAAATATTCACAACCCTCATTTCAACCCATGCACCAGGCTTCCCCAGCTTAGTTCTACAGTCTCGGCAAAGAAAGACTTTTTAACTTCTCAAGGTGATTCAGAACAGCTAAAACTACAGCTTCTGCTCTTAGCAGCCTTTGAAGAAGAGGAAAACTAGAAAAGTTCCCCGATAACTGGAAAGACCCTCAGGAAGACCGGTCCCACCAGCTACGAATTAGCCTCTGTATCTCCCAGGTCCACAGCTGGTAGAAAGTACAACTGAGTAGCAAATGGGAGATGCAAATTTTTCCTCTCCATCTCAGAAAGGACTCAACTGAATCTTCACTTCTCATTTCTGGGAGAATTGTTTTAATGAGTGTGCTTTGTTTTATATAAAGGTAGACAACGTTAACTATC